TCTCTCTCTCAAAAATAAATATTTAAAAACAAATAAAGGGGTGCTGAGGTGGCTCAGTCAGTGAAGCGTCTGACTTCGTCATGAACTCAGGGTTTGTGAGTTTGAGCCCCCATTGGGCTCACTGCTGTCAGTGCAGAGCCTGCTTTGGATCCTCTGTGCCCCCCCCCTCTTCCCTCCCCCTACTTGTGCTGTTTCTCTCTCAAAAATAAACATTAAAAAATTAAAAACACATCTTAAAAACAAATTTAAAAAACCGATTTTGCCCTTCCTCCTAGGAGCAGTGATTCATCACCAAAGGCTTTAAGCAGAGATGCGACAAGACCGAATTTGCTTCTTAAGTAATAACTCTGACTTCCTCGTGCAACATAAGATTGAAAAGTGGTTACAGTAGATTCTGGGAGATATAGTTAAAAGGCCACTGTAATTTGCGGCCAAAGATCTTAGTCTGAAGTACAGGCTACTCATTAAAATGGACTAAGATTCAATTACTGACCTTATACCAATATTTGGGAGTTGAACTGTTATTCTCTCAATCTCTGGGAGTGATATTTCTCCCACATTTGGGCAAGACCTCAAGGTAACTGAGTCCAGCGGTTTTCAAATTGCTTAAGGAAAAAAAAAATCCCCTATTTTCCCAAGTGAGTTTTAATGCAGAATTCCCACAAAGAACATAGTCGCTCTAGGGAAACGTGAGGGGTATTTGTGCAGTACTCAACCTGCACCTGCCCACGCAAGGCACGAGTTTTATACCCAGGGCTCCCAGGAGCATCCCATTATGGATGTAGGCTGGCCCACACACAGCAAAGCCGTGAACTGAACTCAGGTCCTCTGGTTCAAACACTGTCCTTCTCCAAAGCACCTTCTGATGCTAAATAATGAAGTTTAGAGGACAAAGGCCCTGCTGCTTGCGTATTTAAGTGACTTTCAGGGTCTGGCATTGGGTTGGGAGGCGAGGTGGTCAGTCCACATTTATGGAATTGCACAGAAACCTGCTGAATCCAGCGCTGCCCAAGCTGATTTTCTGCTTTCTTCTCTCCTCCCCCTTTCCTTCCTATCTTCCTATTGTTTCACATTCTCCCTCTCTCCATCCCTCCATCATCCCTTCACTCTTTTGCAAGGAACAGTGTGAGGTGAATTCCATCACCATGCAGTTTGTAGTCTAGGCGGGTTGATCTGAATGCCCTGGACCATCATGCCTCAGGGAGAGGTGTAAGAGCCTACAGGTTATAGGAAAAGACTGCTAGCACCGGAATCCTGCCTCTTACCTGCAGTGTAATTTTCAGCAAGTCAATTAACATCTCTGTGCCTTAACTTCCCTACCCATAAAATGGGATGAGTCAGTGCTACCAGATCAGGTCATCATGGTGATTACGTGGAGGTGAAAGTGGTTGGGACGGGGCCTGGTACCTGGTAAACTAGAAATGTTAACTATTACGTGTGGCCTTGGACCTAAACGCAGCCTCGTTCTCTTCCTGATGAATTTCATTGTTTCTCGTTCACTTTGCTTGCACAGTTCCCTTCTGCAGAGCTCTCCGAGTTTTACAAAATGCTTCCCCACACACCATCTCAGGTGAGCCAGACATAGACCCTCTGAGGCAGGGGGAAGACATTATTACCCCTATTTTACAGAGGAGAAAAATCAAGGTTCAGAAAGTGTCAGTTTGTCTAAAAAACAGCCGTGACCAAACTCAAGTTCCACCTCCCAGTCTTTGCCCCTTTTTAGCTGCACAACATGAGGATCTCCGGGGAGTGAAACCATCCACAGCTCTTTCCTGTGGGTCTCTGCCTTCCCTTCGCCTGTCCAAACTGCAGCACCGTGGTGCCACATTGGCGTCAGCTCCTGAATAGGCTAACCGGTATCCCTGAGACCCCAAAAAGAACCTGACCCATGATGGGGACCCATAGATATTTGGTTGGCTGTTGAATCCCCTTTGGCAAGTGCATTCTGGAATTAGCATTGCTGCTCCCATCCCAACAAACACTGAGCCTTGCAGTGGGGTGGGTCTTACTTCTCGTGGTGCTTTCAGAGCCCGCCACAGAGTAAGCTCTCAGCAAATGCTTGCTGAGTTGACTTACACCGAACCTGACCTTCTCTCTCTATTTACAGGGGATGGGTCTGATGTGTCCGCTTGGGTTTCTGCCTGGGCTCCAGAGTCGGTGGTTCAGGGCTCCACAACCGGGGGCCATTTCCATTCCAGCCTATAAAATTCTAATCTTGATCCGTCACCACCCCCATGCCCTTGAGGAGCTAATCCTGCCTTTGGCATCACATACACTCAAAACGGGGCGCCCCAGCCAAGCACAGCTGCGTCTCTTTGCTGTTGCACACTGCTCAGAGCCTGCACAAGGCTCTTGACCGTGAAGCCCACCAATGGTGTCAGCAAGATAATTCCAATCCTGTCACATACCTGCCCTGTGACCCAGGGCAAGTTAATTACACCTTTGTCTTATCGGTTCCCCCATCTATGAAACAAATCCAACGGCATCCACTTTGTAGAGACAGTAGGAGAAGTAGATGGGTCCTCATCATTAGCAACACTTAGACCTATTGAGCATCACATGGGCTAAGTAACTTACATGCAAAGTATCAGTTCCGGGTAAAAATAACAACAAGAAAAGAAGCTAACAAACCGCTGGTCGTCCTTGTGCCAGACGCTGCTCTCGCATTTGATGGGGTCAAAGCACTGAATCCTCCCGGCAGGTGGGCACTATTATTAGCCCCATTTGACACCTGAGAAAACTGAGGCTCAAAGCTGGTGCTGACCTCCCCAGGGTTACAGTGTAAGCAGCCGACAGAGCTGGGATGCGAACCCAGCCAGTCTGACTGTGGACTCTTTATACTTAGCCAGCTCTCCTGCCTGTTATAACAGCTGCTCAGTAAGAGGCTGTTATGGTTTTGTAATTAATTTTATTTGCCCTACATGTAAGATGGTCACGTCTAGCTCTATTTCTACTTAATTCATCCCGTAGTACCTAACCGCCAAAAACGATTCCCTCTGCCTGCAAAGACCCACAGCTCCCAATATTCACACCCTGGAATCTGGGCGGGGCTTTGGCCAGTAGAATACGGTGTCTAACTTCCGGAGCTTAAGATGTAAAAAGTCCCACCGCTTCCTTCCAGTCCCGGGACGCTGTCGCGCTGCAAGCAGCCCAGGCCACATGGAGAGGGCACGTGTAGGCAGTCTGCTTGGCAGCCTCGGCCGAGCTCCCAGCTGCCAGCCAGCAGTCTGCCAGCCGTGGGCGTGAGTCATCCTGGACGCCCAGGCCAGTCGGCCCTCAGATGACCCCAGCCTCCGCCGCCTTGATGGACCCCGGGCTGTGCCCAGTCAACCTGCAGAATCATGATGGCTGATGAGAAAGTGTTCTTTTTGAGCCGCTGAGCCTTGGGGTGAGTGTATTGGCGGCATTTGCCTTCCAGACCAGCGTCGAGTTTCCAGGATGCCTTAAAGCTAGCTCCGATTATCGGCTCACCACTTAATTTTAGGGGGAGCCACCTCTTTGAAGTAACAACAAAATAATTAACACTTATTGACCTTGGGGATCTTATTAAACTCTCTGTGCCTCAATTCCTTTAGCGGTAAAGTAGGAATAGTAGGGTAGCAAAGGTACCTAGTTCGGAGGGAGGCAGTGAGGAAGAAATGAGCTAATTCATTATCGGGTGCTGAGAACAGTGCCTGGCCTTTAGAACACATGTAGAAAGTGATAGCATCCTCTTTCTCCCCGTCTGCCTCCAGTCTTAACTGAGCTCGGTGTTTTACCAAGTCTTTTGTATTTCAAAATCTTGTCTTTGTACTTAACCTGAAGGCAAAGCGTTATTATCCCATCGCCAGGGAGGTGCAGGGACGTAGGGAGAGCCTTGTGGCTGGAATGCCACGGAGCCAGGATTTGGACCCAGTCCGCATGCAACTGAAGCCCCGTGCTCTTTCCCTCCCCTACCCCGCCTCGACATCACCCCTCTGCGACACATGTAAAAACCCCTCTGACACCTGTGGTAGCAAAGGCATCTGCTCAGTGCACCCATCTCCCCCGGAGCCTGGCACACACAGACCAACGCACAGCAATCGGCTCGTTTGCAAACTCCAGCTCGCTCAGTCCAGGTGGCCCAAGGTCCCCCGTGTTAGCACCTTTGTCTGACACTGCTCTGTGGCGGGGAGGTGCCCTGCCTGCTGGTGTGAGAAACACTCATTAGAAGCTCCGATTCGGCTGTCAGGGAGCAGCTCACAGCCAGCAAGGAGGTTCAGCTCTCCTGGGAAGGCTTCAGAGGAATCCACCCGGAGCCGAGTTTCTGTGCCCTGCACCCCCCAGCCCCCGGCAGTCAATACTTGTTAAATGAACATAATTGACTGCCTTGCTAAGGTGGAGTCCTAGACATCCTCTCCAGATGAGTTAGAGAAGGGATGTTAGGATTCAGGCAAGTTTTCTCTCGCGGGAAGACAGAGGGCCACACTGGGAGGTCTTTCTTTGAAGGTCCTGGTGATGGTGGGACACTTCTGGCCTGGCGGCTTGCAAGGGAAGAGCAGCTCGTGGACAGATGTGGACATCTGCCCTCCCAACAGGGAAGCGACCTGCCAAAGGTCGCGAAGCTTGCCAATGGTGGGGCGGGATCGCAGTCTAGCCCCGTGATTCCGTGCGGTGTTCTTCCTGTTGCCCATTTTTGCCCCTCTTTGCTACCATCTTTTGTTTCGTTTAATTTAGTTTTGAGAGACACAGAGACAGAGCATGAGCAGGGGAGGGGCAGAGAGAGAGAGGGAGGCAGAATCTGAAGCGGGCTCCAGGCTCTGAGCTGTCGGCATAGAACCTGAAGTGGGGCTTGAACTCACGAACCGCAAGGTCATGACCTGAGCCGGTCAGACGCTTAACGGACTGAGCCACCCAGGCGCCCCTTTCCTTTCCTCTTTGTAATGCCCGTCTGGCTGCTCTCCTTCTGGAGCTCTCCTGAGCCTTCCTAGGCCTGGCAGGACTGATGGTGCTCTGTGACCTGCACCCTGGAAATTCTTCTCACCTTTAATAAATGTGTCCGACTTTGGACCTTCCATTTCATTCTCTGAGGGGACACCCGGCAAAACTGACAGACCGATCTGTTTAAAATCAGGTAATGGTTAAATGTTACCCTTTGCCAACAGATTTGCATCCAGTGTGGCGAATCCTGGGGGTGCATGCAGGGTTTCTTCACCTATAGATCAAAAGCCACTTTTTCTGGGGTTCTGGGCTGAATTATATCTCCCCCACATTCGTACGTTCAAGCCCTCACCGTCGGTACCTCAGAATGTGACTCTATTTAGAGAAAGGGGCTTCGAAGAGGTAATTAAGTTAACATTAGGTCATTGAGGCGGGACCCTAACCCAAAAGGACTGGTGTCCTTGTAAGAAGAGATTAGGACACAGAGACGCACAGCGGAAACACCACGGGAGGACACAGGCAGAAGGCGGCCACGTGTCACCAAGGAGAGAGGACTGAGAAGGAAACAACCTTGCAGACCACCTCAATCTCAGACTCCCAGCCTCCAGAACTGTGAGAAGATCCATTTCTGTTGTCTAAACCACTCAGCCTGTGGTACTTTGCTATGGCAGCACTAACAAGCTGATTTTAAGCACACACACACACACACACACACATATATATATACACATACAGGGCTTTTCGTGATTGCTAACAGAGCCCCTCCTCTGAAAGACATCCTTCACAGCCCTGTGTACTGTGCTCCTTTTCTGAATCCCTCATTGCATCCAATGCGGGTCACGTGACCAAAGCCTGATGGCTCTAGATGGAATCTGGGCACTCGCTCGTGGTGGCAGTTTGGGCACCTGCTGCAGATGACAAGGAAGCCATTTTGTGACTGGACCCCTTTCTTTAGTTCCTGTACTCGCCGCACTGCAGCGAGGGAGCGACTGCCAGAGCAAATCCTGTTTGGTCCACCAAGTAATGATCACAAACTAGCTGCCAAGCAATGGGTCCAGAGTCGGAAGGAATGGGAAACACACGGGTCAGCATGGCCAGGAGTAAAAGGAGGAGACTTCACAGTGGGGGGAGACAGGGAAGATGGGTAGGGGTTTTAGAGTAATGGGGCCCTAGAATAAAGAGCCTCTGTAGTGGCTGGTGCAATCAGGAAAGACTTCATGGAGGAGGCGGCATTTGATCTGAGTCTGAAAAAATGAAGAGGAAAACAAGTAAGTGCGTGGGGGTGGCTGGCATGAGGGAAATGCTTAGAAGTGTCATGGATCTTTAATCTTTGGGTGCCTGCCCAGTAGGGCGAGGAAGAACACGGTATTTAGCATCATAGCGCTGGGGGATCCTGTCTCTTCCTCTTATGTCAGGGCTTCCAAACCCCAACATCACTGACTTTTTGGTGAAGGATAAACTCTTTGCTGTGGGGATTGCCCTGTGCAATAGCACCCCACACCCATTATGATACTCAAAAATGTCTTCAGACATTTCTAAATGCTCCCCGGGAACAAAATCACCTCCTCTTGGGAACCACTGATGTGCACGGTAGCTCTGGACCAAATACTGGGCCTCTCTGAGCTGGTTCTCTGCTCTGTGCAAAAAGGGTAGCACTCAGCTATACAGACATGTGGCTGACCGCAAATCTGGTAAGTGAATGTGCCTTAGCCTTACTCTTTTAAAGAGTGGATCTCTTCTCTCTGAATAAAGTTGAGTGCAAAACCCCCAAATATGAAACAAATCAAGGTACAGCTGCGCTAGCCGAAGCAGGGTGCACAGCCCCCAAACCTGCCTTCTGCTGGATGGAGATGCCTTTGTGGAATCCACAGAGGCACCACTACAGAAACCACCGCACTCCCCCCTGCCAGGGAGCAGCTCACACATGCCCTGGGAGAATGGAGTCTGAAAGGGCTGGATCTCAATCCTGGCTTCTTCCCCAGAAGTTCCAGAGGGAGCAAAGAAACCCTAAGATCTGTGAAGACCCAGGAACTTCTGTCTTGTCAGCCCAGAGGGAAGGAAGTGAGGCATCCAGGTGTTTAAGGAGGCTCTCACTCTCAGGTGAGGACCCTGCACTCACAAGACCCAGCCAGGGAGTGCCTCCTTAAATTTTCCTGGTCCGTGCCTTTTTTGTGTCGCTGACTCCAGGCCCTGATCAAAGGTCCTCAATATATAGCTGAGGGATTAGTTAACCCAGTTTCTTCACCATTAAGATGAGGATGCTAAAATCTGCTTTGTTAAGTAATTTCTGTTTTTTTTAAATGTTTATTTATTTTTTAGATAGAGAGAGAGAGGCGGACCGTGAGCCGGGAGGGGAAAAGAGAGACAGGGAGACACAGAATCCGAAGCAGGTTCCAGGCTCTGAGCTGTCAGCACAGAGCCCGATGCAGGGCTCGAACTCACAAACCACAAGATCATGACCTGAGCAGAAGTCAGATGCTTAACCGACTGAACCACCCAGGCGCCCCAATCTGTCAAGTAACTTTTAAATTAAATAGATAATACCTTTCACGCAACCAGAATAATGTCACATAGCAGTCAGGGCTATTGCGGGCTCCCTTCCACAGTCCAACGGATCAGACAGAACACAGAGGCTGAAAGTTCCGGGCATATTCAGGAAACAGTGAGAAAACCCAGGACAGCAGCAACCAGAAGCAGAGAAGCCAGAGATGATCCAGAAAATGGTTGGTCTGGACCACGCAAGGCCTGGCCTGCCACCAGCAGGTGCATCATCATCGGCATGGCATTTCCCTGGGCCACAGGGAACTTAAGCCAGAAACAGGTCTGAGCCTGCAGAGGCGGTGGGGGTGGGGTGGG